TAATCACTAAGTTTTGACATTAAAAAGTATATAAAATGATTTTGAATAGGAAAGAATACTTAACAAATCAACATAAAACACTCTGAACTACTAAGTGATTTGTACATGTAACAGGTTCTCAACAGCACCAAGATAGGTAAACATAGTAACTGTAGAATCAGACTGAGGAACTTAACATAAAGAAATTACTTTTACTACTATAACAGAAGAACAATGCTTTCTATAAGTTATTCATTTCTGGAACAATTTTTATGCATGCATTTTCTTGTTCCTTACTCTGAATTGTATACTGCCAGCCATTAAACGGGTAGTGGGGACACTCAGATTAGTAGAGGCCAAATTTAGAGAAAGAAAAATCTTTCTTCAGTCTAGGCTAAACAGGCTGATTACACAAAGAACTCCAAACATGCAAAATCACAGATGTCTACACTAGTTCCCAGGGCTCAAACAATACCAGTCATTCATAGCTTTCCTTTTACCTAAGCTAATGTGAGTTTAGTCAGCTCTTTTAAACTTCATAGCCAAAAATCCTAGACTGTCTTTTCCTTTCCTTCACCACAATTTTCTGAAAAACAAACTTTATTTCTCCTAAAAAATATGAAAAATGTCCCTTCTGTTTGACAAGTGGTATACCCTATATGTAATTACTGTAGTACTAAAATGACAATTCATGATACAAATCTAGGATCATTCACACTGACAGATTGATACAATATGTGTTTAAATGCATGACTTAAAAAATAATTTTAAACGTACTCCCTGTCATGGTAACTGCCAAATGTACACCAATTGCCTGAATTCTATTTGCTTCCAGTTATTTTTTAAAGAGATGTACGATTCAAAATAACTTCCCAAAAATGAAAAGAAATTTTGAGAACTATTACACATGAGAAAAAAAAAAAAATGAGAGGAAAAAAGAGAAGTTATCCTTCCCACCTCTTTCTCTCTGTCTCCTTACATTAACCAGTCATTAAAAACAATGAGACACCTAAAGGTGTTTGATCAAACCAGATATTCTTCAGCAAACTTTTAAAAGCTAAAAAACATTTTATTATTCAAAGCATATTATTATTACTGATTCTTCCAGTAATGTCATAAATCAGCTGAGTCTTTGGTGATTTCTCATACTTGATATTGAAAAGTAATATGGGGGCTGGAGAGATGGCTCAGTGGTCTAAAGCACCTACTTGGAACAAGCTTGGCAAAGCACAGGGACCGCAGTTCGATCCCCCAGCACCACATGC